AAGCTTAATTGTCTCATTTTCTCCAAAAAAAAATACAGATTTTACAGTGGTTAGTCCATTGAATTAGTTGAAATATTAAGTTTTATTAAAATATTCTTTTAAATATTAGAAACCTTGCCCATGTACCATGAAAATAAGTTTAAAATATATTAATATAAATGTATAATGTGATTAGGAAGTTTTTGATCAACAAGAAAGAGCCTAACCTTTTGTATATAATAATTAACGGAAAAAATCGATCTTTTTGTAGGGGTTAACCCACAAATTTCAAAATAAATTAGAAAAAAAACTGATATTTTTCTTTTAATGCATAGATGCATCCAGCACATATATAGGATGAATATTAAAGATGTCTAACATCTTTGTTGTCTCAATTTCTCTAGAATATAGAGATTTCATAGGGGTTAACCCACAGATTTCAAGATAAATTAGAAAAATATGGAATTTTTATATTTTTTCATAGGTACAACCAGCACTGATATATGATGAATATCGAAGAGATTTGATACCTTAGTTGTCCAAATTTCTCTAGAAAATAGAGATTTCATAGGGTTTAGTTTATTGATTTTGGTGGTATCTGAAATTTTATTAAATTCTTTTGTAGAAATTAAAGTTGATGCTCATGTACCATGAACATAAATTTAGTGCATTAATATAAATTTTGAATGTGGATATGTATTTTTAAAATAGCATTAATGAGCCTATTAGTACATATAGCATTTATTAGAATAAAACTCAATATTTTTGTAAGATAAATTAATAATTTATTATTTTGTTATAATGCATAACTTCTAATGCACTGACATGTGATGAAGATTAAAGAGTGCTCAGAGCTTAATTGTCTCATTTCTCCAAAAATTACAGATTTTACACTGGTTAGTCCACTGAATTAGTTGAAATATTAAATTTTATTAAAATACTCTTTAAAATATTAGAAATTCTGCCCTTGGACCATGAAAATAAGTTTAAAATATATTAATATAATTCTATAATGTGATTAGGAAGTTTTTAATCAACAAGAAAGAGCCTAGCCTTTTGTATATAATAATTAACAGAAAAACTCGATCTCTTTGTAAGGATTAACCCACACATTTCAAAATAAACTAGAAAAATGATATTTTTCTTTTAATGCATAGATGCATTCAGCACATATATAGGATGAATATTAAATATGTCTAACACCTTTGTTGTCTCAATTTCTCTTAAATATAGAAATTTCATAGGGTTTAATTTTTTGATATAGGTGGTATATGAGTTTTATTAAATTACTCGTTAGAAATTATAACTGATGTCCATCTATGATAAAAATAAATTTAACATTAATTAGTATACATTTTTAATGTTTTTAGATATTTTTAAAATAAACTAAAGAATCTAAACTTAAGTACAAATAGTGTCTATTGGAAAAATTTGATCTTTTCGTAGGGTGGTTGACCCACAGATTTCAAGATAAATTATAAAAATATGGAATTTTTATATTTATACATAGCTACATCCAGCACTGATATATGATGAATATCGAAGAGATTTGATACCTTAGTTGCCCAACTTTCTCTAGAAAATAGAGATTTTATAGGGTTCAGTTTATTGATTTTAATGTTATCTGAAATTTTAGTAAATTCTTCTCTTGAAATTAAAATTGATGCCCGTGTACCATTAACATAAATTTAGTGCATTGATATAAATTTTGAATGTGGTAAGGTATTTTAAAAACAACATTAATGAGGCTATTAGTACATAAGTACATATAACATTTATTAGAAAAAAAAACTAGATCTTTTGGTAAGATAAATTAAAAAATGATATTTTATTTTAATGCATAAATTCATAATGCACTGACATGTGATAAAGATTAAAGAGTGCTGAGAGCTTAATTGTCTCATTTTCTCCAAAACAAATACAGATTTTACAGTGGTTAGTCCACTGAATTAGTTGAAATATTAAGTTTTATTAAAATACTCTTTAAAATATTAGAAACGTTGCCCATGTAGCATTAAAATAAGTTAAAAATGTATTAATATAAATGTATAATGTGATTATAAAGTTTTTAATCAACAAGAAAGAGCCTAACTTCTTGTATATAATAATTAACGGAAAAACTCGATCTTTTTGTAGGGGGTTGGTTAATCCACAAATTTCAAGATAAATTAGAAAAAAAAATGTTATTTTTCTTTTAATGCATAGATGCATCCAGCACATATATAGGATGAAAATTAAATATTTCTAACACATTTGTTGTCTCAATTTCTCTAGAATATAGAGATTTCATAGGGTTTAATTCTTTGATATAGGTGGTATATGAGTTTTATTAAATTACTCGTTGGAAAACTATAACTGATGTCCATATATCATGAAAATAAATTTAACATTAATTAGTATAAATTTTTAATGTGGTTAGATATTTTAAAATAAACTAAAGAGTCTAAATTAAAGAGTCTAAACTTAAGTACAATAAGTGTTTATTGGAAAAGTACGATCTTTTCGTAGGGTTCATAAAGGCTAAAATTCCAGGGGAATCTGATCAAATGACCTGAGAGAATCTCCTGGATTCCCAGCTCCTCCTCCTTCTCCTCCAACATCAGAAATTAACGTGGAATCAAGCACTGAAGCATCCATTACCATATCTGAAGCATCAAATGGAAAGTGTCCATTTGATGCCAGAGAAGCTGGACTCACTGCCACCTCACCACTCCTAATCACTTGAGGAGTTGCATCTTCCACGGTTTACACATAAATACAAATTTTCAAAAATCTCTGAAAATGTTATTTCGATTCAATAAGTTACACTATACAATAGTATATTAAATGGAAAATTAGATAATTAAAAAATATAAACATTAAACATATATACAAATTATCTATGATTATATAAAGAAGGAAATACAATCTGTACGAGAAAATTGTGGATTGAGGAATTGTGGATGAGCGAGTTGTGGATGCAAGTTGTGAACACATGTCTCACAGATTTGTAAAAGAGATTCATCAAAGAAAAAGACATGTTTTTACCTTTGTTATCTTTTTGATTTGAATCTTTGGAAATAAGTTGCTGAGATCAACAGTTACACGGAAGAGCCTGAATTGAATTTCGAGTAAACATCTCTTAGTGCAGTAGAAGAAACAAAATTATGTGAGCCTAAACTGAATGTGCCGTCAACATGTGGGGCTGCAGAAGAGAAATGAATATAAGCCGATCAAAGATAATGATAAAATGTATAAACTGCAAAAGCTGAAACAAATGTTGTCCACACCAACCACATCCATACAACCATTGTCCACACCAACCACATCCACCGTCAACACACACTCTATCCACACCTCCACCATCCACACCACACCACCTGCAACAAACTTTCAGAGGCACGAAGACGAAAACTAACTTCACGTTTTCTCTCTCCACAACCATCACCATAATGCCGGAGTTACTTTCTCATATGGTCCTTCCTCTACCTCTAACCTGAAGTTGAAATCTAAACTCATCTTCTCCAGATCTGAAGTTTCGTCACCGGAGCTATGGTCACGCAATTGAAGTTTTATTCACAAATAATATTTCTCTGAGTTACGACATTGTTGAGAAGTTTTGGGACCGCTGTCACCACAAAGCATATGAGATCCTTTGGGTCGAAATTGGTTTCCTATAAGTCAGCAGGTCTCTCAAGATCGAAGCTTTAACGATGAATTGGAGAGTTTTTAGAGTCAATTGATGTTGCAGAGATTGAAAACGAAGAGATTGAGAATGAGAGAGCATGGATTTTGGGAAAGTGATGTCCATATTTTGCATTTTAATTTATTTATTTTTAAAACAAAACAATTAATTTTTGGTTCGATGTGTAATGAGAATAAGTGTAGTTGGAGAGTATGTTTGACAAACCACACACAGAAAGTGTGTAACAAGTAGAAAGTGTCTTTCTATATTATTACAAAGACAAAAAATGTCTTACAATGTAAAAAAATCATTAATCAATCTTCCTTGTCTTTTCCCTCTAATTGTGTTTTCTTATGTTATTGCTTATAATCCAAAAGAGATTATAATTTACCCCTGCAATAAAATTCGACACCAAACCAATATATGTTTATATATACACGTTGTTAGTCAAGTTGCTGATTGTTGTGTTACGACGACAAGGCATGGGCTCTTTGTAACTCTTTTGGAATGGCATTTGTTCATTCTCTTTCATCAGGACCACCTCTCTACTAAAAATTATACCATGATCAAATCAAAAATTCTTCTCATAACGAGTGGCTTCACTTCGAACTTTCTTCTAAGATATATATAAATAGTGAGAAATTTTATCTCACTACTCAATGTTACTTGACGCCCTTCCACTCTAAGCTCACAAATAGTCCAACAAGCAAAGGACAACAGCAGTATTCAGGCCAGGCCCGACAAACACATTTGACCTACAGAGGGTAATTTTTCTGCCATGATGATGGTTAATAATCAAAACAAAAACTACAAGTACAGCTAAAAGTGTACGATTTTCTTTTGTTTCTTTTTTGTTCTATAGAGAAAGCAGACACATTATTTCTTGAATGTTTTATAAAAACATGATTGACGATAAGCCCTGAATTCCACTAGTTTCTCTTTGTGGAAAGTCTACATTTTCTATGGAAAAAGAGACAGAAAAAAAAAAGTTACCTAAAGAGTCCTACGTGTTTTTAACCAGCTACCTGTAGGATCTCTGCGTTGCGTTTTCTTAACCAGGTTGGATCGCTGAGTGATGCTTACCTCTTACCCTTGACTTGCTTTCTTTCTTTGTTGATCAATTCCTGTCTTCACTCTTCCTTTCACGTCTTCACAGCTTTTTCGCTTTTTTTGATTGATTTGTCCAAAAATCACTAGTGAAGGTGATCACACTGCTTCCTCCAAGTTCTTGAGTTTATTCCAGCCAAACTTGACCACCCTCATTGATGTTACTTTCCCCTGTTTGGTGAGAAAAATCTATCTGATCAAGAGTGTACTGTCTCACTCTGAAACCAAACTTTTGTGAAATGGAAGTTACCTAGGGAAGCGAGGCGAGGAAGGATCATCAGTGTGAGAACCACGACGATACCTTGGCTGCTGATCTTCAAATGCCTCACCACCAGCTGAATGGTTGCCGTCATTAAGATGCGGTGCTTCATCCACAGAGTTGTTCTGATCGTACGGATAAAACATCATGGCAGATGGAGGAGGGTTGTGTCCCTCACTGTTCTGCTTCATGCCATGTGGCAGTCTGTATATGCTATACGCCACATTCCCAGAAGCATCTTGTGAGCGCATAGGAGGTTGGTGAGACGAATATGAGGATGATTCATGCCTATACGACGATGACACCCATTGCCTATCGGATCGGTGGTCTTGCCTTGGCTTATTATTATCAACTTGATTACGATTGTTGTAGCTACTACTACGTCCAGAGGCCCGTGCCTTTGAACCTGCGTTCCATTTTCCTTCTCTCTCGCTTTGATGGTCGTTTCTGTCATGTCCATAATTATTCCCTCGCCTCATGCCAGATGTAGGCCGCTGCTCCCTTCTCTGCAACAAATACCGAAAAAAAACAGTTTAGAGCAGTGTGACAAATCCAAAACCGTCATGAATGCTATATCTTAATATACAAATAAACGAAAGACATACAATCAATAAAGAAGGAGATGGCAATGCACAAGCACAAGACTGAACGATAGAACGAACAAGATCCACAAGCACAGACTGAAACATGCCTAAACTAAGTAGCAGACTTGAATGCAAGTAAAGTAAGCAGACAAAACTGCTGTGAATTCATTCAACACGCATAAGCCATAAGACTGTCAAATATTTTATCAATAATAAAATAACATAAAATTTCCTCTTCATGCCTTAAGCCAGACAACAAAAACGAAATTTGTAACTTGATTGCACGCAACGGAATATAATGGAAACTCAAAGAAGGGACGCAGTTCTTACAGGATTTGGAAAATAGGTCCCCGTCCCACTTCGATATCTGGGAGTTTCATTCGCATAACGAGGATAAATATTATTAGGTGGCCTGGTGGAAACAGGAGCAACGGGTACAAGACGAGGTCCGTAGGTCATGAGCTGATTAGCTCCATTTGTGTAAGCAAGAGGTCTTCCAAGACCATCCCATGGTAAACGCCCCTGGAGATAACCAGGTGGCACTACAACAGAAGGAGGATACAAGACAGGTGGATGTTGAA